AACACCCTCTGGGGGAAGAACCTTTTCCTGATACCCAACCTAAACCTCCCCTGACACAACTTCAGGCCATTCCCTTGGGTTCTGACCGCTGTCAGGCTCTGTTTCCTCCCAGAAGAAGGAACTTGAAAAGCWTTTGGAACTTGCCTCTGAGCTGAGCTCAGGCCARGATGGTGCTTGTACAGGACCTGTCATCACAACTGCAGTCATTTGTAACTGAGGTGATTTACAGCTGTGAGATCACTTTTATCTTRCAGCAGCATCAGACAGATCTTACASMATAAAYSGAGTCATCACATCTCAGCAACACAACCCCTTTCATTTTCTATTGGGTGATTCACRTGGCTTTTAACAGAACCAAAGAAACCCTCAGCATCCTAGCAAAGCTCAAATAAAGGCACTGAAGAATATTTAAATGCTTATGAACTTGTGTCCCACATTCAAGCCCAGCTGACGCRTTCCCACACATGAAACAGCCCCTGAATTGCCACAGAAATAGCATGGAAACAGGCATGAGGCCAGCTGAGGCTGRTTGGAAAGCAAAATACTTGATTTTAGGGAAATTGGGAGGAGTGGCTGGCAGTTGCTTTTATTCTGGACTGCCAAGSCATCACAATAAACCTTTCACACTTCTCTCTGTTCCTTTCCATCCCTTTTGAACTCCATCTTTTGCCCAAGAAAGTGCCATTAAAACTACACTACTCAAAAAGAGATGTTTGGCCACCATCCCTTGACAAAAAATCATAGTTTGGCAAAATGTGTTAATGGGCCAATTCTTTCCCTTTGATTACAATTTCTCTGAGGTTGGTGGCTGAGCCAAGGGCAGGGCTGRCCCAGCTGCAGCAGATGGTGGATTTGCATCGTTTACTTTTCCTCTGTCAACATTAAGCACATGCTGAAGGATTTATTGCACAATTGTGAGCTGGGTGGYGGCCAKGGGAAGAGGAAAAGTTGATTGCTCRGTGATGGGGCTGAGGGTCAGCCCTGGARTGTCCCCACAGCCTTCAAAGAAGTGGTGGCGTTTTGGGCAGTGCTGTTTGCAGAGCAGGGAAGGGGTCCAAGCAGGTGCTTCTCTTTTATAAATGTCACTTTACACCACTGAAATCCCAACCACCAATGTTTTGTCTCTGCTGGGCTCAATTCATCTTCTAATTGCATTGGTACAAACACCTCTGAAAATCTGTTAGGACACAAATCTGCCTGTTAGTACAAAAATTACCATTTTTTCCCAGCAATATTTTCCAAGGAATCTGTTGCCGTGGGATTTCTGCCTTTCCCCAAGCAAGCCATGAGGGTTCAGTCATTCCTCAGTGAAGCAGATGCTCTGTAGTGTGGCCAGAATGACCACAATCATATTTTAGCCTGTCTTTCAGCACTGTGAAATTCATTAAGCCATTCAACAAGGAGGTTTTGCACCTCTGATGTACAGTGAGATAATCTGTGGAGGGCTCTAGGAAACCTCAAAACAGAGAAAATCATCAATGGATTACCCCCACGATAATTTTGAATTAATTTTCCCATCAGAGATGCGTGAAGTAAGTTTAGAGTTCAGTCTGAGCTTCCGTGCTGGGAAATGGAAAAGATGAAAATAAAAATGGAAAACACCACTTCAGAATTTGCWGTGATGATGAGGGATGAATTTAGAGTGTCCTTTTCCCTGAGCAGACATCTCCATTATGAATTCCAAGGAAGACACTCCTTCAGCAGCTCGGCAGGGCCAGGCAGAGTGTGGGATCCTGATCCTGAGCCCATCAGGAGKTTAATGACAAACAGCCAAGGGAGTTCACTGTGTGTTCTGCCTCCAAAATGAGAATTTCCCCTTCTACCCAGGAGATGGCACTAAGGCACTCAGGCAAAAAGATCACTTTAGGTCAGCCTTTTAAAAACCCCTTTTCCCTAAAGTTGTGTGTTGGGGGGAAAACCTGCAATTTTTACGTTCACTGGGTTGTGCTTCTTGTGATGGGACAGCCGAGTGTCCTGAGAGGGAACACATTTCTGGCTGCTCTGTGGGTGCTGTCACTCAGATCAGCCTCCATCAATGGATGTTTCTCTGTTTTGGACACAGGGAAGCATCAAGTACTCTGAAGAAATGTGCCTGGGATCAACCACAGCAATAATGAGGTAACAGAATCCTGGAAAACATCTCCTAATATCCACCAGCCCCATTCTGACTCATACCCATCCTGTTTCTCTGGGCTGTTTCAGGGGTTTTCTCTTGGACTTTGTTACTAATGTGAAATCTGGTTGCATCCCTTTTTGAATCCTATTGAGCTCATGGATGGTGTCATCTCAGTGCTGCAGAAAAAGGACTGAAAACAGATGGTGTTGAGGTAAAATCAGTATTATCTAGAGCTTCTCACCTCTTCTTGACYCCAGTGCTCTTCAGTGCTAACCCTGTGTCACTCACAGGAGCAGGATCCATCAACTGAAAAGTAGGAGCATTGTTGGAGGCACCAGGAAAACAGAAAATCTGATTTTGTGTCTGCTCCCTTCTGCCATCTGGATACATCTGGATGCAGCCTGAATGTCCCCTGCTGGCATTGACTGGCATGATGGTCCCAAAGCAGTGACTCCCTGGGCAGGTGTGAGAGCCCTTTTGGGTGTTTGAACTGCTTTGGGACCAYCACCTTTCCATCAGCAGGGAGCTGGGATGGGGGAAAAGGCATTGACAGCAATCACTGCCATGACCCACAGCCCCATGCTGAAGGCTGGAGAAACAAAAGTTTGAAAGAAATATTTGGAAAGAGAAATGGCAGGAGATGGGGATGCAGGAGACTGGCTCCTGGGTGGGGGCTGAAGCACAGATTTCAAAATCTGCATCTCTAAGCGTCGTCTCCAAACCTGGAAAGTGCCTGAGCAAAGGTGCTGTCAGAAAATCCAGGAAGGAATTTATCTCCAACACCAGCAGCTTCCTGCTTTCTCCCTGGCTCAAAGCTAAGGAGCACTTTAGCAAACCCAGCATCCCTCTGCCTGGTTGAATATCCTCATTAGGGCTCATGATAGGGTGTAGCACAGCTCTAGGTTCTGATTCAGGCATTTTTTTCCACAGTGGTTGTGATCAGCATTCAGCAATTCTCTTTTTCCTGGTGATGTTTCCTTGGGTATGTGCTCTGAGCCCCTGTCAGTGCAACAAAACACAGCAGAGCAGGGTGGAAATCAGGAGGAGCCCAACTCCAGCATGGGGAGACAGAAAAATGATGCTTTTTTTCATAAGAGAAAACTATCAGTACGGCCATGGGGTTAATTTTAAGTGGTGCAAAAGCACACCCTTCCTTTAGGAACATCTGTATTCTTATGGTCTTATTTTCCTCAAAGAAGTCAAACTGTCTCCTCTCTGATATAAACAAGTATTTTCCCCAATTTTTTTACGTTTTAAAGGCAATTTCATTGTTTCTGTCCTCCAAAATTGCCACTAATCCACTAAATTTAGCTACAGTGGCAATCCCAAATGCTGCATGGGCTGTGGTCAGCAGWGCCCCACACCAGAGCAGCTTTGCAGAAGTGCTGGACCCTTGATTTTGTTAAATCCCCCAGAGCTTAGATAATGAATTTCTTGGGGCAGGGATGGGTGTGCTGCTCTGTCTACACAGCCCCTGTCACCGACAGGTCTGGGGATACTTGATATTACTGTAAAATAAAATTACTTGATAATACTGTAAAATAAAATTACTTGGTAATACTGTAAAATAAAATTACTTGGTAATACTGTAAAATAAAATTGTTGTCATTATTATTGACATTTTAGCTATATCCGTTAACAATCTCTCACTTATCCCTCAATATTGCAAGGATGTCCATTAAAAGGAGAGGTTTCTCTACATCACCTACTCCTACTGGGATAATTTTGGCATCAATTTRGAAGACCCAGAGTCAGATCACTAAAGCCACAGACCTTCCCAGATCTGAATTCCACGGCTCTCCATTGCCATCTTCAGGCTGGGAGCAGCCTTGATCCTCCCAGAAACAGAAATCCCAAACGGACACGGCAAACTCAGTCCCAGTTTACTCAGCATTAGCTGAAACTGATGGCCAAACCCTGGAAAAAGGTGATAAATATTAAATTCAAAGGAGAGGAAGGAGCTGTGCAAGGCTGGTACTCAGCAGCTCTGGATAACACAGGTATTTTCCTCCTTGTGAGTGCACAAGGCTTTAGAGAGTAAATAAATACAAGAAATGCTATTTGACACACACTGCTTCTTGCTGAGAGACAAAGTGTGTCATCAGGTTTTCTTTAAAGCAGTTAAAAAAAACAAAAAAAAAAAAAAAAAAAAAAACCCTGCCCGAGCAATTTTAGCTCTGTAGCCCACACTGTTCACCCCAAAAAAGGCTTTTTTTCTGACAACAATAAAAGCTGAGGTTCTTGGGAGATTTTAATCATAATTTGCACTTATAGAGATCTTTGCTGAGTATTTCACATCTGATAGACACGATGGTAGGTCTGGAAGAGATGAGGTTTCCAAGGTTTTTCAGGATCTTAGATGAGACATATCACACAGGAAGCTTGGAGGGCCAAAGCACTGAAATCACAGAATAACAGAGGTCACAGATCCTAAAAGAAATCAGGAAAACATGGGAAAATGTAGCCATCCTGGTCCTACAGGTCCCTAGATGAGGCTGCTCAGACCCAGTGGGCATCTCCGTGCCACTTCCCCACCTCTCCAGGCTCCAGACAGAATCTGACCACTCTCATGGTGAAAAACACTCTCCTGATCAGATCTGGTTAAAAAATAATTTTCTAGGAGCCCAGAAAATCACAGAATMATAGAATGKYTTGGGYTGGAAGGCACCTTTGAAGGCCATCAAGTCCAACCCTCCTGAGATGAGCCAGGACAGTGCTGCTACTCAGAACATTCCAGCAGCAAAGCTCTTACAGCTTTATCTCAGCWCTCATGGCAGTTTGTACAACTTCCCATGACTGTTTACAATTCTTCCCTCTGCCTCAGCCCCTGAAATCCCATCTCTCAGGGCCAAAAGAGGGAATTCTGGTGCTCACCACAGCCCCCTCAGTCCGTGGACTCTTTGTAGCGCGGCGTCCACCGCGCGTTYTTCCCAAAGGGCAGCCACCGTGCAGAGATGGGAGATGACCAGTCCAGTTTCTTCAGGAAGTGGCTGTAGCTGTCCCCATACTCAGTAATCCAGCGGCTCCTGCAGAGGACACRGAAAAAGGGATGAGGAGAGAGCTCTGTCCTCTGCTTGGTGCAGCAGGATGAGGGATCTGCCTCCCCTCGTGCAGCTTTGGACTGCCCAGCCAGGAATCTGTGCAGAGCAAACAAAAGCTCATCCAGGTGGGATGGAGGACAGGAGGAACTGCCTGTGTCCATCAAAAACAGGGCAGATGCTGCAGGACACGCAGCTCTCCTTGGGATCCATCTCCCACCTGGACCAACCATTACACGGGCTCAGTCTCCAGCCCACTATAACTCCAGGATCACAGATTAAATTCTGCAGTGCAGAGCTGAAATAGATGTGTGTTAGGGAGAGGTGGGGGCTGTGAGGCAGCGGGGAAGGATTGCCTCTCTGGTGAGAAATGAGAGCTCAGGAGCAGTTTATGCCTGTTTGGTTCATAGTGTGCAGATGAGTCACGYTGCAAACAGCTCCTGCCCTGATTGATTTGAGAGGGTCCTTTCACAAGGAAAACCTGGGCATGGAAAGGATGACACCACCCTGCCCCAGGGATCTTCTTTCCACAGGGATCAGGCTGTTCCAAAAGCTGTCTCCYCACTCCTATCAACCCCACTGCAAAACTTTTCAAGAAAATGTTAAGCAGGTTTGAGAGTGGATTTGTCCCCGAGGCAATTTCTTTGGGCTCATTGCATAACAGGGACAGGGAGAAACACTTTTGAGAAACACCTTCTGATTCCAAGCAGCTCCAAAACCTCCCTGTCCTACTCTCACCCCACTCTCTCCTCCCCATCCCAGCTGTCCCTTACTGATTGAAGCGGCTGTCTGTAGGGAAAACAGGAGAGGGCCTCGTCTCCTCTGTGTAGGATCCAACATGGGCTCCTGCACGGCCCTCGTAATCTTTCTGGTACACGCTTTTCCAGTCAGGGTCGGTGAAGTCTAGTGAAAGAGAGTTCAGATAATATAAAGACATTTTTACATCTCTGTCTCTGTATTGCACAGTGTGAGTGCTCCCCCTTACCCTGATCTCCACTGGCTGTTTGTCCTTCCAGCGCTCCTGGTGAAGGGTGAAGGGATTAATCAAGGGAAAATGCAGGAATTGCTTCCCTGGTGTTGATAAGGTAATTTAGATGAGATTATTCAGATCTGATACGTGAGGGAAGCCGCACGAGGCAGACCTGGAAATGGTATCTTGTGATCTTCCTGTCACCTGGTATACATATTTTCCCCCTACTGTCTAGAATTTTTATTTCCAACATGCCATTAATCAGGGACTAAACCAGGGGAGACATCCATGGCTCACATAACCCCAAACTGAGTACCAACACATCTGCTGTGATATCTTCCCCAAAAATCCCTGTGGGAGCTGGTTTGAGGAGGAACCACTGCCCATCTGATTCTAAGGGATGTCTTATCTGTGTGATAACAGCTYGGTGTGTTTCCTTCCCATGGAGCAGATCATGGGGGATAAATCTGCTGCAACTTCTCACAACAAATCAGGGAGGACACACAAAGAAGAGCTGCCCATGGTAGATATTTCACATTATTTGGGTGTTTTAAAAATCACACATTCCTATAATGAATCATGAGTATTTTAGTTGTTTTCACTGAGGGTGAGGTGTCTCATGTACATGGCCACGTAGCCCAGCAGCAGCTCCTCAGTGCTAGGATATTATTTCCAGGGAGCCCACATCGAGCAGGGCTGTGCTCCACAGGGTGACCTGTCTAGAAACTGGAAAGAAACACCACTCACAACCCCCCAACCTCTTCTAGAAGGTAACTTTTTCTCTGCCCTGCTTCTCCCCAAGATGGGCAGGTGGTTACAGGGSATCTGTGGACCCTTCCTGAATCAACCACTTTGATTCACCCTCCTGAAATTCAAAGGCTCCAAGCCAGGCTGAAGGCCACCAGTCATCCTCATGGGGCAGCAGCCACAGCCTCCATCCACTGACCTTTCATTAAAATGGATGTGTTCCGGACTTTGTTTCTGTTTTTGGCAGCATCATTCTGCCTCTCCCGGTACAAATCCTGGGCGAATTGCTGGTAGGTGATCAAGGGCGCGGATGGCTGCTCCTTTGGCACCAAGGCCACTGAGGCACGGCAGGAGAAGGASGTGCATTAGTCAGGAATCACCATCAATCACTCACCCAAATCYTACCCTTTGGACAGGGTAAGATGCATAAATCAGGGGAGGCCYGGTCACTTCAGCAGAGCTTTGCTGAGGTGCAGCGATTTTGCGTTGTTCTGGTTTGTGATGCAAGAAGGGGAGGGATTTGTGCTGGTGCAAAGAAAGTGGAAGGATCCACGCTGTCCCTACATCACCCTGGAGTGCCAAAATGAGCTGAGACCTTCTGCACAGCAGGTCTGTGTGTGAAAGGGAGAAATGCTGCACTGCTGGGACAGCCAGGGGCAGAGCAGGAAGGGAAAAGCCCACAGGAGTTTCGTCATTAGCACAAGACAGGTTCAAATGGGCTGGGCAAGATGTGTGAAGCCCTCAGATGGAGTCCATAAGGACAAACGTCCATCTGAGCTGCTTGTCCACACTCTCCTTCTATGGAGTGGAGAGACAAAACCTGCCAGGGCACTTCACCTCATTGCCAGGGGGGCATTGGAGCTGCAGGAGATGGCTGTGTCTTTGTTCCCTTCAGATCATGAAAGAATTCTGGCACAGACATCCCACAGATCAGCTCAGGGAGCAGACAGGACATCACTGGCCATGTCTGTTTGCTCCTGGAGCACTGCTGAGCAATGCCACCATCTCCACTCTCAAACAGGAGCTTAGAGGGAAAGTCCCCACTGCTTTGGGGTGGCTGAGMAWGGCAGAGCCATGTCTGGTGACCWYTCCTGTTGTTTGCCTGTCTCTCATCAGCATTTTAATCYTTCCAAGCAAGCTGCATTTGCTTTYAGMYAGGAATACTTAGCAGCARYRWTTGAACCAYCCAAMTCCYTCACACCCAACCAGAATCCTTTTCTCCCCCTCCACTTCTGCAACATGGGGCTGACTGCATCTCCCTCCGTCCCAAGAGAGCTCAGGAATCCTTGTTAGCAGTGCTCTTTATGCACTGAGATGTTTCTAAAGCCCAGCTCTGTACACCCATCAGGTGTCCTGGGAGCTGCACATCCCTGGTGACAGGGTGCTGTCCCCACACTGCAAATCCCAGGCTCAGCCACCCCAAAGCAGTGGGGMAGAGCAGAGCTCAGGGCTGGCAGAKGCCCAGCAGACAGCCCCTGGGGCAGTGGGCATGGCCAGGCAGGTGTTCCCGAGCAGGGATTACCCTCTGTTCCGACTACAGCAGTGGGAGGTGGCAGGGGAGGGCAGCAGGACAGGTCGTGGATCGGCTCAGCCAGGATCTCCAGCTTCCCTGCCCGCTTTGTTGACAGGTCAGAGGGCCGGCACTCCGGCAGGTAGCACTTGGGGACGTCTGGAAGAGGAGGGAATGAAGGTTTCTGCAGAGAAAAAAAAAAGTCCTGTGTGAATGGGGAGGCAGCAGCTGGGGAGGGGAGGTGATAAAGCATCGTCAAACAGCACAGGCTGGGGTTCCTTGGGGTCAGCATCCCWGGGGATGGCCACAGAGCAGCTCCATGGCTGTCCAGAAAGTATGGGCCCATCARATCTTACAGTCTGGGACTCTGCTGGGCCCCGGGTGGGCACTGGGACAGAGGGAGGGACCCTGGCACAAGCAGGGGTTTGATGGTGCAGCAGGGAAGGGCTCCAGGCTCCTGCCAAAGAAAGGATAAAGAGGCTGCTGCTGCTGCCTCCAGCCTCTCCACTGCACACTGCAGCTCCAGGTGCATTTTTTAGGGGCTCAGAAAGGGATTTTGCTGCTGTGAGCACTGCTGGGCCAGCAAGGACCATCCTCACAGGGTTTGTCTGTTGTTGTTCCCGTTCTCTGTGGGGTTCTATCTGTCTCTCAAACTCTGGGGTCCTCAGGGCAATTCCCCCAAAGTTTCTCCTTTGCCATCTTGACAAATAGGGCAGGTAGGAGCTGCAGAGATACAGGAACTGCCCTTATCTGGGGCCTTCCCCCTGTGAGGAGAGCCAGAGCTCCTCACAGGGCATCCCCAGAGGGACAGGAGCCTCCAGGAAACCCTGGTGGGGACAGCTCACGAGCCAGTGCTTTCTTCCTCAACCCAAGGTRTTCCCCATATTGCCCTTGGGAGGAGGTTACTGATCAAAATTTCACGGATAAAAAAAAAAAAAAATCAGTTTTTTAAAGAGTTACACAAAAAAGAAAAAAGCCTATCAGGGCTAAGAGGGAAACCTGGGCCTCCCGAGTACCTCACCATCGTGCTACCCAGTGGGACGGCTTCCCTTGGCAGGCCTTGGGAATTAAAAAAGAGCCAAAGGGAGCTGCAAACTGAGAGAATCAGACATAGGAAAGAACGGAGTTATCTCCCAAACTACATCAGGACCCCCACAGGAAGCATGCAACCATCAAAAAAAAAAAAAAAATTTAAAAAATTTAAAAAAAGGGAAAGGAGAAAAGAAAAAGCAACTGAGATGCAGGCACTGCAGCAGGCAGGGGTTAAACCCTGCCCTCGCAGCCGGGCTCCGGGCTCCTGGAAGCGCAGCAGCCACCTCAGGCTGGGGCTGCCCGGGAAGCGCTGGCCAGCCCGGAGAACAGCGGGAGCCCCGGGCAGCAGCGCTAATGAAGGCTGCTGGCAGCGGGAGCGCTGTCCCGGCAGGAGGAGGGGACARGGGACCCGAGGAGAGGACAGGACAGGGCTCCCCAGGCTGCTGCCCGGSCGGGGATGGATGGCAGCGGTGTCCGCACACAGCCCCTCCGCCCCGCCGGGCGCCTTCGCACAATGATTTCTCTGTTGTTGCCCCCTCCTTTTCCTCCCCAGCCTCAACTTTTTTTTCCGTCTCTCGTGAGCGTAAGAGCCCAAAGCCCTTGAGCAGCCGAACATGCCCCCCACCACTCGTCCGCAGCGCAAACCGCAGCTGTCCCCAGCGCGCTGCCACAAGCAATTAAACCAGGGCAGGCGGAGCGAGGCAAATCAGATTAAATAGCTCAGGGGGTCGCTCGCACTGCGAGGAGATTAGAAAAAAAACAACCCCAGCTTCCTCGCAGAAGCCTTCCCGGGCCCGTGTCGGGGCAAGGAGSCATCTCCATCCCGCAATCCCCCTCCCCAAGGCGGCTCCGGGATGGGTCTGATCCTGACGMGCTCCGCCAGCCCCACGGGGAGCAATCGGACTCCAAGGCTTAGGCACCGGTTCAGCAAGCAGTCGTTAGTGCCCTGACTTAATGAGCGTAATTAGCATCGCTCCCCACCAACAGCTTTACCCGAGGGTGCACGGGGGATTTCCCGCAGAAGGGATGGGGGCACAAGCCCGGGGCKTTTGGGCGTGATGGGACCCGATAGCGGGTCAGAGCCACGGGGACCCGCTCCTGCTGCCCCTCGGGCACCAYCCAGGGCTCAGCTGGCCTGAGAGGGCAGCTTGGGCTGGGATCCGAGCCGGGAAAAGGGCGCAGTACCGGTACGTGTGCCTGGGTGGGCGAGTGGTAGTCTTCGTGCCAGCCRTAGTCCTTGCGGTAGACGCTCTTGTACTTGTCCAGTGCGACAGGCAGCTGCGAGGAGAGAGAAGGCAAACATAAGGAAACAATGAGACTTGGGGGAAGCCTTCAAAATTTGGGTGACACAAACCCAGAATGGTCCCTCACAGCTCAGGRGATGATGAGCTGCTCCTCTGGGTGCAGTCTCCATCCCCTGCTCCACATGGGGTGACCCTTTGCTCAATTAAGCCCCAAGGAGAGTGTCCAGGAAGGTCCCACACTATTTTGGCAGTTGTTTCTGGGGCTCTTCTTGTCCCAGAATTTCCCTTTGCAACAAACACCTTCCTCCTGCCCTCCTCAAGCCTGCTCTGGCTGCCCRAATGGCCCCAGGCAGAGCACTAATGCAGAGCTGCCGAAATACTTTGATCAGCTGCTGGGGTCCGGTGTCACTCAGGTTAAATCAGCACATGCTTCCATCTTCTATTTCAGTTTGCTAYGTGCTTATCACCAATTCAAAGTGCTGGCAAATGTCAATATTCATTCTGCAAAACTGTTGGGGAAACCACGGAGGAAATCTCTGCCAGGGGATGTAAAGCAGCGACACCTGCCCTAACACCAGAAATCYTTGAGATGAAAATTTCTGGGGACAGGGAGAGGATTTTAGTGAGAGGGCACTGTCTGTGTGTCTTGTCCCTCAGCATGCCCTGTGAGCACTGCTGGAGCCAGGAAAGCTGGTGAGATGAGCCTTCAGGATGGCTCCAGAGCTGTTTTTATTCCAAAGGTGAGCTCTGATTGAAGGTGTTACCGTGGTCTCCACTGTCACACAAACACACCCTGCACACAGAATTGGCTTGGCCAGCCCAGACAGGGGCTGCAGTCCCGTGTCCCTATGATTAGGAACATTGCAGCCATACACAGCACCTTAGGGAAGGCTTCTTGTGCCTTGCCAACAGTCACCCATCCTGGGCAAGAATATATTCTCAGTCTTTTTTTTTCTAACATTTCACTCTTTTCCCCCTCTGAGCTTCCCAGACCAGGGTCTGCCTTTGGGCAGGATGCAGAATCCCATTGTCACCAGTTCCCATTTTCTTCCCAGACCCAGCCAAACCCATCCTGAAACCCCAGTGAGGATGTGAGTCCTGTGTGCACTTTACCTTCCATGGCCTTGCRTCCCTTATCATCTCCATGGTGACCCAGGAACCTGGACCAGGAAAGTAAYTAAATTTAAAAACCAGCAGAGCAGCCCTGTCCCTCCATCCCACCTCAAGGGATAAGGGAACTGGAAATCTGGAGCTGGCTACTGGCAGGAGGAAGGGGATTCAGCTGGCAATCAGATGGCAGAGTGGGATTGACTTCATCCAACTCCAGCCAGGTAAAAATATCCCCACTCAGGATGGAGCACCTCAGGGGTTGCAGCTTGTTGGAACCCAGAAGGGATGAGATGGAGGCATCCCACCACCAGCAACCCCAGAGTCACCCAGAGGGTGAACAGCTGTGACCCCTTCAGGGGCAGGGAACCTTTGTGGTGGGATCCCACAATGCCTGTGTGCTCACAGCGTTTCCAGGGGGGTGGGAAAGCTCTGTGCCATTGTGACACAGCTCAGCTGCAGAATTCTGGAGGCCTTGGCAGAGGGAGGGGAGCATCAGGGGGTTTGGGKTTGTTTTTTGGAGGTGAAGGCACCCAGCAATCACAATGGGGAGCTGTTACCCACTTCTTCAGCTGCAGCCAGCCGTGCTGGGGACACGTGGACAGGAGAGGGACAATGCCTGCTCTTTGTGAGTTCTTGAAGCCCCCCAGCTCCTGCTAAAGAGGTGAGCAGATGGGGAAACTGAGGAGAAAAGGATGCACTTTGTGGGTGTGCTGAACAGAAAAAAAAACCATCATCCTTCCCTCCCTGTGTGGAAGGATTGGAACACTGCAGGATTAGGGCAGGCAGGGATCACCACTTGGACTTGGGGGTGGCTGAGGACACCTGGACTGTCCCCTTCAGATGCTGCCGTTCTCTTCCTCTGATGAACTGCAACAGGAGGCAGCAGGGGATGCTCCCATGGACTCCTTTGTCCCATCAAAGCAGACAGGAACACCACACCAGATCCACAGAGCAATATTTACTCTTTAAAAACATCAAGCCTTGACCAGGTTTAGATGCATTTCATCAAAAGACTGATCTTGCCTAATTTTGGGTGTAAAAATGCAAGACATCTCCCTTGGAGCTGATCATTCCCAATTTCCTGGCTCATTGAGGACAGCTCATGTGACCAGTGCAGGTACATTGGAGCTGAAATAAACCCTGAAAGCCCGGGTTTGGTGAACTGAATCTCATCCAAGAGTCCAATTTCTGCAGCTGCACGTGAGCCTAGTGAATCCATCGGTTCAGAAATGAGATTCTCTGCCACTGCAGCAATGCAAATAGTGGTAAATGATGGTGATGAGGCAGGAAGATGAGATTCTCAGCTCCAGGAGGAGCCAGTCACAGACCTGGGTTCACAGGCACTGTCAGCATGAGCCGAATTCCAAGAGTTGTTTCTCTCTGCACCGTTAGGCACCAGTTTGCAGCTGGAGGCCAAGGATGCTCTGGCAAGGGTTTTGTTCTGCTGACAGCCCTGCACTGTTGTCAGGAAGGAGGAGAAGCCCTTCATCCTCACTGCATTTTATGCAAATTAATGTTAGAATAAATAACGCAACGAGGAAAGAAATTATTTCCAGAAATGTGAAACTCTCATGTTCTCYTGTGCTTATATTAAAGGGATTACACTCCATTTCCTTCTTAATACAGCTAATGCTCTATGGGAAGCCCTCAGGCCAGGGATTAAAGCACTTATTCAATTAATTAGGAACAAACTTCTGCCTTAAAGTCAAACACACAAATATCAGTAAGCCCTTGAGAGTGTCTTCCTTCCAGGGCTGAGAAAATGGATCCTGTTTCTGGTGTAAATGAAACCAAGCCTGCAATCTAGAATTATCAGGAATAATATAAATTAAGAGGAATGGCTTTTAAAATGTCACAATTCTGTTACACAGCAGAGTAAAAGAGGGACAGTCCCAACWTCTTGAACTCAGCATTGGAACCCCATTCAGGGGGAGCAAAACCAGGTCCTACAAGGATAATATAAATGAGATACAATTTTAGGATGTAACTCTGGTAACTAGCTCCAAGCTGCAGGCACAGCAGTGTTTGGGTACTTTTGAAGTTAGGGGTGAAATCCTGGCCCTGGTAAACACAAAAAAGGAAAATGCTTATTCAGTAGGATCCGGATTTCACCTAAGGTGTCTGATTCATTACTGAGATAGGAGACAATTTCCAAAGCCTGGCTCCAAATCCTAATCTTTTTTGATGATAGCTTGATCCTTCCGTCTTCTCGCAGGCACAGCTCACAYGAAATTAAAAGGCATTTTGCCAGAATAGTTTATGCAGGAGCAGCCCACTATTGCTGCTCATTTTCCCATTCCTTCTTCCCAAATATCAAAAGATGGGGCTGATAGCTGCCAACCTAATCCCAATTAGAGGTGGATGGGAACCAAACTCGCAGCTCTCACCTTCCTCTGCCTCCAAGAGAATTTATTTTCCTCCTCAGTGCTAATGCAGACATGGAGAAAGCTGTGCCCTGAATGGCTCTCTGTGTAGCTCATCCCTGAGACAGAAGATAATGCTGAAGACCTAATAAACACCTGCAGGAGGAAATTGCTCTTAAATAATTGGTTTATTTTCACAATACTCCAGGGRGACGGTGGCTCAGATTCCCAGAGTCAGGAGCTCAAACCACTCACTTGAGTGGCAGTGCCCCTGTTTCTCAAGGCAATGACATCTCCAGACACCCAGGGAGGTTTTCAGAGGTTCCTGGGGCTTTTGGCCTCTCCACATTATGCCACTTGCATGCACAGAAGCAGAGCACAAGTCAGCCAGGACCTGAAAGTCCAAAGCAGACAATGATGTGTTTTAGTAGCACCTTGGGAGGATTTGCCAGTGGGCCCAAATGTGTGATAGCTGAGCTCAGGCTCTTTACAATCAGATAGGAAGAGTTTAAATTAGAATCAGGGACCTTAATTATAATGAAAAACAAAGAGATTTGTGGACCTGACCTGTGCAGATCCTTCCTGGCATCCTGCTGCTCACTCCCACTGTGCTTAGAGGTACCTCAGGAAAGTCAATCCCACAGCCTCAGTTGTACACAGGACATGATGCAGAGATAAATTTCATCTCAGTTTGGCCCTAACTTACCATTTCTGCTGTGTTTTTCCACCTGTGAAACACAGGAGTTCTCTCTAAGCCTGCACTGCCCTGTAGGGTTTGGGGGAACCATCTCAGCAATTAATTCCACGCACAAAAACATGGCCAAGGAGGACATACCTTCCTGTCAACCCAGCCCCTGATAAGTGTTCCTTGGGGCTGGAATAAGATTCATTGCCCCCGTGAGGATGTTGAAAGAGGGAGGTGATGGGTGAGCAGGAGCCCCAGCCCCTGGAAGAGGCAGGGTGTAATCTGGGAATCTCCATTCAGGTTATCACCACCAGGAGACAGAGTGCAAAGAGGGGACTCTTCTTCAAGGGACGAGTGCTGACAGCCCATTCTGTCAGCAGGAGGTCAGCCACCCGTTTGGGTCTAAAAACATGAACTTTGGTGGCAGTGCAGCAGTCCAGCATGGGCACGTTTCCCATGGAGTTATTTGTTTCATCTTTTTTTATTTCCTTATTTATTTTTCATTAGTTATTTTTGTTTCATCTCTGTTTTATTGATAAACTGCTGGGGGCATTTATGGCATCCTGAGAGCAGAAATGAGCAGCATCCTCCAGCTTCAACCTGAGGGCCCTGCTGCTCTTTTGCAGCCACCTAAAGCACTCACAGGACTGAGCCCTCAAATCCAAATTCCTTGTTACACAGACATTCCTCTGTGCCAAAGACAAGGGCAGCTGGAGAACTCAGTGGTGGCGYTCCAAATCTTTGGGCACATCTGCTGTAACCTGCTGAAACAATCAACTGTTTTTTCTTCATTATGCACCCCCCCAAAAAAAATCATCCATCAGCAGAGGATGGCTGAAATCTCATCACCACCTCTGTGGTGTGTCCTGTGATATAAATCACTGCATATTTATGCACCTGTGTAAGGCAGATACATAAAGGTATTGTTGGAGAGCCTAAATCTGCCCCCTGATGCCGTTGTTTAAACAGCCCTTTAACCACATCACTTTTCTCCTCGTTAGGTTAAGTTGCTGGAGGTGAAAAAGTCCTTCCAAAATGGTTTTCACTCACTCACTCAGCCCAAAGTAAACATGCCTYTGGGACCATTATGTGTATCAGGTATCCGAGGCTTTGTTAAGAGCTTGCCTGTTAGGTAAATTCTGATTCTCTTTCTCTTTGGAAAAAGCAGGTTAAAATTGGAGACAGGGGTGAAGCAGAGAAACAGGAATAACAGAGAAATTCAGAGCAGTGCACACAAGCGACACAAGTCTGGGGGAATCCCTTGATCCAGAGTAATTCTGGTTACAAAACGACATCGGCATGACTTGTGCCCATCATTTGTGATCAAACTCATCACAGATTTCATGGTCTGGGCTCGGCATTTTTACCAGCAGTCAGCAGAAACACCCTGCAGAGCCCAGAGCACARCACTTAAAGAGGAAATGTGAATCTTTAGCACACCATGAAAGCCCTCCAGCCCTGTGCCCACATGCCTGGAGGAGCTCCTGGGCTTTCCTTGGGTGTCAGCTCACATTACAACCACATTCATCTCACATTACAGCCACATCTGCTTCTTAAAGGCAGCTCTGGCAGGACAATGCCCACCCCAAACAGCTCATCCAGACCTCACCCACACCAGACTGCAGTGAAAAGGAGCTTTCCCATTATCTGCTCCATGGTTTAGGATGGCTGTGGCATGGGCAGATTCTCTCCCTGCAGCCATCAGAGCCCTTCAGCTGATCTAAACTTGTCGGGGAGAATAAAGCAGCCACCTGCTTCCAGCGACAGGAAAAGTAAAGTGAGATCAAACGCGAGCAGGAGGAGGGAATTYAAGCAATGTGAGAGGTGGCTGCATGTCATTTCAGAAGTCACCTTTGGTCTTTGATCTGTGCTGAGGAAGTGGGCACCTCCTGGATCRGATGGTCACTGGAGACGTGTGCCACCGAAGCCAGCCCACCTTGAAGTCTCAAGTGTTTGCTTTCCCCAGGGATCCTCCTTCTGCTTCCGCYGCCGTGTAAATCATCCTTCAGAAAAGTAAAATAATGCAGGTTAGGGAAAAGATTCCAGGACTCGTGTCCTCCCATAATGCCAGGATCATTCACTGCACCA